GCAGACCACGTGTAATCATCTAATTATATAATCATCACACACAATTAGTATCAATTTTGTGATATCGGTTGAGAGCTTCACCTCTAATCATTGAGGATCAAGGATTTGAGGCCAGGGTATTTAGTTATGGATAAATTCTTAATTTAATTTGTTTAAAGTCCCAAAATATACATTAAATCTCTGTGAAGTAACCACGCCAAAGCAATTAATTGGCTCTTTTTGGCATATATTCCTCTCGTCTTCATTTGCTATAATTTTTTATTATTTTAATAAATAAATATATTTTTATTAAAAATTTAAAGTCAGAAAAAAATCAAATCTTATTTACTGAATCATTTTAATATTTAATATACTTTAATATAATAAACTATGCGAGTTATTAAATTTTAATCTTAATAAAAAAAATTAATCAAAAATACTTTCTATTTATTGTGACCGTTTGATATATTTTAATTTTAAATTAAATAAAGCCTTAAACCTATTAATATTTAAAGAGAAAATTACTAATTTTAGAGTTAGTTAAAAAATTAAAATTAAAAAATAAAATATCAATTTATCTTTTTTTAATTAGACTAAAAGATTGCATTTGGCTAAAAGTTGAGCCAATGTTTAGCTCGTTAGAATTGATATGTCCATTGGTTTTATAGAATATACCATGCTTTTTTCAAACTTAAATTGAGCTTAGTGTCACCTCCCAAAAGAGCCCTTATGGGTGGTGGGCAGCCCAGGACTTAAATACTGTTTTTCGGCCCTACACCTAGCTGATGTGGGACTATTTGTCTGTGACATTAGGGTGAATCTCATCGGGCTCTTATGGCCAAATTGAGTAACGGATTATCGTCTTAACATTGTACGAGAATTCAACACACACTTAGATGAAAAAGAAAAAAACAGTGACTACTCCTGTAGTGACATCAGAGGTTTTACGTGGAAAGCCCGTAAAGGGAAAAACCACGCGGTATGACCCAGTTGCGAAAATCCACTATTGATTAATGATTACAGAAATCTCTTATCCCATAGACGTGAACTATTGATTAATGATTACAGAAATCTCTTATCCCACAGACGAGAAAGGTAACTATATTTTTCAAATTACGATATTAACTGGCAGCGTCTGGTTGGTGGTGATCGATGATGGTTGGTGGAGGTCGACGACGATTGGTGATGGTCTTCGGCGGTCGGCGATCGGCGGTGGTCGGCGACAGAGGTTAACGGTGGTCAACGACAGAGGTCGGTAGTGTTCAACGACGATCGGTGGTGAAGCTGAACTACAACTTCTCCTCAATGTCTCAAGTTTTGTCTCCAGACTTCTGCCCCCCTCATGAGAGGGATGTGGCTTTATTTATAGTGTTCTGGATGCAATTAATGCAGAAATATGAATCATTTTGATCGGATGATCTGGATAGCTTCCCTTGATCATTCGGCTTTTACTGGACATTTGAGAGCCTTAATGATGTCAGAATTAAGTGATCTTGGGCTCGTTGGATTCATCTTGTCGATCCGCTCGATTCGAGTATAAAATTTTCATATTCAACAACCCTTTGATCTTTCAAATGTGTCCAGAAATTATTTAAGTGTGGTTTAATGACTTGATCTGGGCTTGATTTGACTTGGATTAGCCTAGTTTTCATATCATTAGGTCCGTCTCATCAAGCCGGTCAGTTTGATTATAAGTTTGTTGAAGTTGGTTGGTGCACTGGATGACTTTTTTTCAAGATTTGAATATTTGATGCTTAAAATATCGTCTCGAGATTCGTGTCATGCTATATATATATATATATATATATATATATATATATATATAGACATATAGACACACACACATTAAAAAAAAACAACGAGATGATTTTGAGCTAAAATCAAATGGAGTTAGGCTGAATCATTAACACTCCTATAAAAAGATACTTAAAAATAAATGAAAAATATTTATTATTATTTTAAAACTATTATATAACATTTATTTATTTGTTTATCTCCAGACATCGTTATCTCGGACCTGCCGATCGTCCAGCTCGTGGCACAAAATTCAAATAAAGAGGTTGGCAACGTTGACTAGCCCCATTACAATTACCATATCTTTTTCAATAATAATAAAAAAAGTTAAAAGCATTTACAAGCATACCCCTCAAGCCTTGTGTATTTACATATCTAACACCGAAAGATTTATTTTTACATGCATACCACTCGAATCAAGCTATAACATCAAATAAATATACTACCTTTATCATACTTTCATGTATAAGATTTTGACAACGAGGTGCTTGTAAGTATAACTATCAAAAATCTACCCCCTTTCCATATATTTTTTGCACAAATTTTAAAAAAAATCATTAAACATTTGATGAATTAGTGCAAATAGTTGTTGTGTTATGAATTATGCTCTTGAATTAATTGTAACTTAATACACAAAAAGCTTTACAATTCACTTGATTGTGTCATTTTCGTCATTTTATTCTTCATCAGATGTAAAGTAATTGAAGTTTCATTAGAGTAAATGTCAATGCTTCCCAATTTTAAAGGCTTGATTTAGTTTATTGGGAATAAGGTGAGCCTAGTGCTTCGTTTGCATTAATTTCAGGAAAAAATATTCTGTCAGAACATCCACATGTCTGGACGGACAATCACCGGCGGTCACGTCGCCCGCCAATGACTTGTATAATCACGTGACCGCCGGCGATTGGTCGTCCAGACATGTGATGTTCGGGCTGTTTGTTTAATTATTTTAATGAAAAAGAAGGGTGAGACTATTATATATAATTTATATTTTTATTAATGTAAGTTGTTTTAAGAATATGAGTTATTTTTTGTTTGATATAAATAAGAAACAATGAATTTTTTTTATTTTCATAATACATTTCAAATATATTGAAATGCAAAGAGATGGGTTCAGCGTGAAGGGTGGACGGTGGAAGTGGGTTGCAAGAACGTGCGACCAATGTGAGTGGAGAATGAATTTATTTAAACTATTTAATCAATTACAGTAATCCATAACTAAATAAAATTTTAGTCAGTTTCAACCATCAACTCATTTTACACGTAAACTATTTTATTTCTTAATAAATTTTGATTGCACTACTTAACAATAATTTGTGTGTGAGATGTGTGCTAGAAAAATTGTAGTGATAGAGTGATGGATTATCATATTAAGGTTGGACGAGGATCCATTACACAGACAAGTAATAAAAGTGATGAGTAGAAACACAACCTATAATTTTTTTTTTTTTTTTTTTTTTTTTTTTTTGTGGAGGGGAAAAACCAATCAAATTATAATGGTTCACTATGAGTTGGTGATTACATATACTGACTCTTGTCTCACAAGATGGGAGAGGGTTACAAAGTTTCTCAAATAACAATGATCGTGTGCAGAAAATTTCGTTGCCTCATGGTAGAGAATGGTTGTCGAGAGTTTACTATCTCTGAAATGTGTTGTGGCAAGGTGTTCGGGATGATGCGCCGCTTTATAGGGTGCAACATCGGTCTTTACCCTGCACAGTGCTTCGTAGCTCAATAACATAAATATTTATGCCGCACAAAACTTCACTACAACGAGCAGAGGGAAACCAATAGTAGTCGATAATGGCCAACGGATGGACTATGGTCAATGGTGGTAGGCATTTGCATGAGCAGGAAGTGTTCGTCAGATTTTCAGTGTGGAAACGATTCTAGATTTCAGCTCCTTCTTCAAGCTTCAGTTTTCTTTTAGCTCAAGATCTAAGTTCCCTTTCACAAAGGAGATATGACTCTATTTATAGAGTCTGAGAGAGACCTCTCTACAAATTAGGAATGAACCTGGACCACTTCATCGGATAGCACAAAGATATTCCCATGATAGTACAATATTTGGTGGACATTTGAATGCCTCAACGAAGTCAGAATTGAATTATCTTGGGCTCATTGGATTTGACTCATCAAGACGCTCGACGCGACTATAAGATTGTTAGATTTGGAATTTATTTAACCTTTCAATTGGGCACCATAGCTTCTGAAAATAGTTTAACGATTTGATTTGGGTTTGATCTAACATAAATTGAATGAACTCTGGTGTCATTGTATTCTTCTCGTCAAGCCGGTCAATTTGATTGTAATTCTATTGAAATTAAAATTCTAAATGATATTTAATTGAAATTTGATGGTCCTTGCTCAAAAACATATCTTGAGATTTGTGTCAAGCATGCATACATACATACATATACATACATACATATACATGCATACATACATACATATACATATACATGTATATATCCATCTATCTTATATTTATCTATATGGATGCATACAT